GTTTGGGCTCACACTTTAATTAATTGTGCTGCTTCTTGCTTGAGATACAATAAACTAAACCTTTGATTCAAAATCAGACATTTCATATTTAATGACCTAATAGTAACAACAGTCATAACTGTCAATGGTAGCAAACTAGTCACATGACTAGACATAGACTAGACATTCCTGGATCTAATTACCTGAAAATTATTTGTACTTCTGCATATGTCTGATTGTGTTACAACAGAACCTATCTGGTTTTTTCGTTTTCCCCAGATAAATATTGTAGACAGCAAGTTATGCCTCGACAAACAGTATGTTGGGAGAGCAAAGATGATTGTTGTTGCAATATTAACTAAAAAGCATCTGGGAGAAAAGATTTAAAACTTAGGCTGATCTGCAAAGGGTGGGGGGATTCAATAAGGAATAAGAGACCAGTCGCCAATAGGGAAAAGCGTGGGGTAAGCTGGTGTGTTTGGGGAGCAGGGGTAGATAATTTAAAAGAATCAAAGTGTTCATGTTGGAAAATAGTAACAAAAAGTTGAAAAGGTAGTAGTCAGTAAATGGTAGCTATCTTTATGCTCATAGCCACCACTGGTACTTAAATATTTATTTTATGTCCCAAATAACTGGTGACTTTCTTGCAAATCTCTGCATTTTTTTCCTTTCTGACTGATCTTCTCCCCAACTGTGTTACTGTGTTAATTCCCTGTATAATAGAGGCTTTTGTTAAGCAGTAATCTCTTCAGTTACCTCCCTGCGCTGATCCCTTGAGTGGCCTCTGCTAGTGTGCTTCACTGTACTCCTGCTTGTCTGGGTGTCAGTGTCTTAGCAAAAAACCTTGATTAGGTTCTCTGTTAGAAAGGTCTCCACGCAATCTGTCATTTTCCTGTCTACTGTTTATAGACTGTAGCTACCTCTGTACTTAACTGCTTTTATAACTATAAAATGCATAAAACCTGACACATGGTGAGTGCTCAGTAAATTTGTTGAATAGATTATCTTTTTTTTTTTTTGAGATAGTCTTGCTATGTCACTCTCCATAGAGTGCTGTGGAGTCACAGCTCACAGCAACTTCAGACTCTTAGGCCAAAGTGATTCTCTTGCTCCAGCCTCCCAAGTGGCTGGGACTACAGGTACCCACCACACTGCCCAGCTGTTTTTTGTTGCAGTTGTCCTTGTTTAGCAGGGTTTGAACCCACCTGCCTTGGTGTATGTGGCTGGCACCCTAACCACTGAGCTGTGGCCACCAAGCCTGAGTAGATTATCTTGTTTTAAGTTCCCTGAGGACAAGGACTTTTTTTTTTTTTTTTTTTTTGAGACAGAGCCTCAAGCTGTCCCTCTAGGTAGAGTGCCGTGGCATCACAGCACACAGCAACCTCCAACTCCTGGGCTCAAGTGGGTCTCCTGCCTCTGCCTCCCAAGTAGCTGGGACCACAGGTGCCCGCCGCAACACCTGGCTATTTTTTAGTTGCAGCGGGTCGTTGTTTGGCGGGTCTGGGCTGGATTCTAACCCACCACCTTAGGTGTACGTGACTGGCACCTTAGCCGCTTGAGCCACAGGCACCGAACCAAGGACTTTTCATATTTAAATTCTTTCTGATATTTTAACATATTTCTCTTCATGGCACATACTTTTGGATCTAAATAGTGGTTTGAAGTAAACTATATGACTTAGTTGAATTATTGGGTCAAATAAGATAAAGAGGCAAAAGAAGAAAATGTAAGGATATTGCAGAGTCTCTTGGCAGATGCTTCCAGTTGCTTTCCAAAAGGTTTTGTTGGTAAACTCTTACTAGCAGTGTTTGGCGGTCCTGTTTCTGCTCCATCTTTGCACAGTTTAAAAGTTTGTAATTTGATAGGTGAAATTGGTGTCTTTAATGTCATTTATTTGGTTTATTAATCATTCTCCAGGGAGTTGTGATGTTTCCTTTTTCATCTCAAATTCTTATATGCTAGAGTAGATTTCTGAACAATGCTATCTATTGATATTTTTACTCTTAGATTATGCTGTATCTATTTTAACTCCTATAATTTTAAGTTTATTTAATATGTGTCAAGGCTAGTCCTCTTCATTAGTTTTGTATGTGGATTTTTATATACTCCTTAGATCTCTCCCTCTCTCTTTTTTAGGGTACAGTTATCCCCCATGTAAGTTAATTGCTTGTGTATAATTTTTTGGCCATAGAATGATTCTGGTCATAGGAATATCTATTTCCCTTCCCCTGACTTCTGATTCTCACCATAATTCCATAACCAGATGTAAAGATCTCAGTTTGCAGACCTGGCAAAATGAATAAATAAGGACAGTTTAGTATGTATGCTGTATCTGAGCATACACATATGTTTTATGTGTATATGTATATATGTGTCATCTGCATATATGTGGGTAAAATATAAAACATGGGAACTATTACCTTTTCTCACACCATAATGCCTTTCTTGGTGGTGATTAGGTATATTAATAGTGTTATTTTGTCCACTGAAAAGTATATAATACAACCATAGCATTTAGTTGGTGTCATCTTTGCCGGTTACTTGTAGAGTCATAGCACCATGCTAGAGTCTCATAAGTCCATTATACTTGATTTTTCCTCAAGCACTGGGAGAAATCTCTGTTTCTTTGTGTAGAAACACAGTGGATCAGTTTCTTTAAGGGCCATACGGTGTGCTACTTACCCATCTTTAACCGTTAGAATCCCATTCTGCATTGAGTGGTATGCAGTATGCGGAATGAAGCCGAACTAAGTGGTATTCACATCTTTTTTTTTTTTTTTTACTTTTATTTATTTATGTATTTTTTGAGACAAGAGCCTCAAGCTATCCCCCTGGGTAGAATGCTGTGGCATCACAGCTCACAGCAACCTCCAACTCCTGGGCTCAAGCGAGTCTCCTGCCTCAGCCTCCCAAGTAGCTGGGACCACAGGCGCCCGCCACAACGCCTGGCTATTTTTTGGTTGCAGCCATCATTGTTGTTTGATGGGCCCGGACTGGATTCCAACCCACCAGCTTAGGTGTATGTGGCTGGCACCTTAACCACTTGAGCCACAGGCGCCAAGCCGTGGTATTCACATCTTGCATCTCATGCCTTTTGCAAGGCACACTGTGGCTCATTGGTTGGTATGTTAGCTGGCAGAATCCTTTGTACTGATTATTTTCTTTTCTCTCCTCTCTCTTTCTGAGCATCGTCTTCCCCATTCCACACTCCCAACACCAAAAAAGTACAGGTGGGAAGGTGTTAGAAGAAGCTTAGAAAGTTTAGTTAAATTGGAGCAAGTAAATTTAAGTGTCTACAGTGAATCTTTTTTTTTTTTTTTTTGAGACAGGAACCTCAAGCTGTTACCCTGGGTAGAGTGCCATGGCATCTCAGCTCACAGCAACCTCCAACTCCTGGGCTCAAGAGAGTCTCCTGCCTCTGCCTCCCAACTAGCTGGGACCACAGGCGCCCACCACAACGCCGGCTATTTTTTGGTTGCAGCCATCATTGTTATTTGTCGGCCCGGGCTGGATTCAAACCCGCCACCTTGGGTGTACGTGGCTGGCGCCTTAGCCACTTGAGCCACAGGCACCGAGCCTCTACAGTAAATGTCAAAGATTAAGCTGACATACTGTCCTTGTTTTAGTAGTGCCATGATAATAGGCTTCTTCTTTACTTTAACTGCTTACACCAGACCTTCAAAATACATACGACATTTTATACCTGAGATATAAAATGTTCTGTATACTGTAATCAGCCAGAGTCCAAAGGCTCTGTAAGATAGGACCTGAAGAAATCTACGCTGGTTTGTTTTGTTGTTTCACTTTTAAAAACCTTTTTATTTAAAAAGAATTATAGACTTGTAAGAAGTTACAAATACCATACAGAGAAGTCACTTGTGCCCATTACCCAGCTGCTTCCAATGTTGATATCTTACATATTTACAGTTGTCAAAACTGGGAAATTGATTTGGGCACAACACAGTTAACTAGATGATAGATCTTACTGAGATTTCACCAGTTTTTGCATGCACTTTCTTGTATGTCTGTGTATATAATTCTATGACATTTAAAAAATAATTTTAAGAATAGTTTTAGAGGGTGGCACCTGTGGCTCAAGGAGTAGGGCGCTGGTCCCATATACGGGAGGTGGTGGGTTCAAACCCAGCCCCAGCCAAAACCTGCAACCAAAAAAAAGAATAGTTTTAGATTAACAGAAAAATTTCAGAGATAATACAGAGTTTTCATACAGCCCCCACCCATTTTCCCCTATTGTTACCATCTTATGTTTGTATTGTTTATAATATTTATTGCAACTAAGGAACCAACATTGGCCCATGACTCTTAAACTCCATGCTTTATTTGGATACTGCTAGCTTTTCTCCTCATGTCCTCTTTTCATTTCCTGGTTTTCATCCAGGATACCACATTACAGTTCTTCATTGTTTCTTGTTAGTCTTATCTAGTCTGTGGCAGTTTTTCATATTTTCCTTACTTTTGATAATCTTGACAGCTGTGAAGAACACTATTCACTTACTTTCATAGAATGTCTTTCTACTTGGATTTGTCTGATGTTTTCCTCATGGTTAGGCTGGAGTTACAGCTTATGAGAAGACCACAGAGGTAAAGTGCAATTTTGATCGCATGCTGTCAAGGATACATGCTGTCAACATGACTTAGCCCTTTTGATGTTGACTGTGATTACTTGAGTTGGTTGATCTCAAAGAGTCGCACTCTGAGTGAGCCACAGTGTCCCTTGCAAAAGGCATGAGATGCAAGATGTGAATGTAGTGGTAAGGTAATGTGGGCCAGGTTTTCCACTATAAAGTTATTCTGTCCCCACCCTCATCTTCATTCTTACTCTACTTTGGAAGCAAGTCACTAAGTGTTAACTTAATACTCAAGATGCAGGGGGGTCTTAAACCCAACCTCCTAGCAGAGGGATTATCGACAAAAATGGTTTGCATTCTTCCAGCAGGTCATTTTAGCTTTATGGAAACAGCATGGATACTGAATCAGTCTAACGTATCTGTTCTTTGCAGGGTGGGAAATCCCGTAAACACCGGAAGGATCGGCTACAAGATTTAATTGATATAGGCTTTGGCTATGATGAGACAGATCCATTTATTGATAACTCAGAGGCTGTGAGTAATGTATTTTTAATATAGCAGCAAATTCTTTGTTTGGGATCGTAGAAGTCAAAGGTGTAGTAGGTTAAATAGTTCAGTGAATGATTTTATTTGTGCTTTTTAAAGCTATGTTTACTGCTTCGAGATTTTTCTTTCAAAAGAATACTGTGGATTTAAAAATCTGTGATGTTGAGGCAGGAGACTCGCTTGAGCCCAGGAGTTGGAGGTTGCTGTGAGCAGTGAAGCCATGGCACTCTACCCAGGGGATCAGCTTGAGGCTCTGTCTCAAAAAAAAAAAAAAAAAAATCTGTGATGTTGGGTTGGTCTGGGTGAGTCATTAACACTGCTGTACTAGACCAGGTTTTAGCAAACTTTTTTCCATAAAGGGCCATATCCACATAGTAAATATTTTAGACTCTGCAGGCGGTATGGTCTCTGTCACACTGTTCAGTTGTGTGTTGTAGTGTGAGAGCAGCCATAGACAATAAGTAAACAACTGAGCGTGGCTGTGTTAAAATGAACTTTATTTAAGGACTCTGCAGTTTAAATTTCATATTGTCATATCCTTACATGAAAGGAAATATTAATCCTCTTTTGGAGATATTTTCAGTCATTTAAAAAATCCCTTCTTAGCTTGCAAGTTGTATGGAAACAGACTGGCAGGCTGGGTTTGGCCAGCTCAGCGCATGCTTTGCTGGGTGCACTCTGCCCTGACCCAGTGTGCTCCTTCCCAGTGTCTGACCGCAGTCCTTGAGATTCCCTGATGGTTGCTGGTTGTCGGGTGTTTGTAATTAGTGGTCCTTGTGTTATCACCCCAGGCCCGACTAAAAAAAAAAAAAAAAATTTAATAAAAGAGAAAAAGGAAAAGAGTTCTAATTGTATGCTGAAAACTAATATATTAAACTAATGGTTCTCAGTCAGGGCTGAAACATATTAGTATACTTGCCTTAATTCAGACTTACTGAATTAGAATTTCTAGAAATGAGGCCTGATTAGATTGTGCAAGAGATTTTTGGTGTTTAGGGGATTTTGGGGGTGTTTGGGGATTTTATTTTTGGTGTTTTCTTATTATAAAATTCTGTGTTTATGGTAAAACAGCAATAAAACACAAGCTAGTGATGAAGTAGACAGTAAAGTACCTTGAAGGTCTCACCCTGAGAAGGTAAATACTAGAGCTACTTGCGTAGTTCCATGTATGTTAAGCATGCAACCTATTATCCTATTCAGATATTAACACAAATAGGATTATACTATAGATCATATTTCAGACATTGCTTTTCTAGTAAAATATAACATTTTGATGATATTTACATATTAGCACATAGATATGTTCTTTTTAATGACTAATAGAGAGTATACTTAAATTGAATAATTTATTTAACTTCATTTGATGAACATTTAAATTATTTCCAGTGTTAGGTGCTTACAAATAATTGGGCATCTGTGTACATTTATCATCTTAAATAAATGTGCATGAAGGATATTTATAGAGTGCAAATACATTTGTAGGGATAAATTTCTAGCAGTGCAATTTATTGGTCAAAGAGTATTTGCATCTTGAGATTTTATTGATAATCCCAAACTTGGGCAGGAGTGTTTCGAAATGACTTTCAAGATGAGAACCACACGATTTTTAATGTTAGTGACACTGGGTTGAAGTAAATACAGCAAACATCTTTAAAATGTCTTACCATAAAGTGTTTTACCATACCTGGTAGCCTGGTCTATGGGAGTATCATATTGACAATGCCCTTTGGAGTAGAGAAGCCCTTCCTATTATCAAAAAGGTCATCAGCCAGTAAGTTAGCATGTGGAATGTTTTCAAAACTCTTGTGAAACTCCTGGGCTCAAATGGTCCTCCTGCCTTGGCCTCCTGAGTAACTAGGACTACAAGTGCCCATCACAGCGCCCAGCTAGTTTTTTTTATTGCTGCCATGACTTAACTGCAGTGGTGGTACAATGAATACCAGTCTCTATCACCAGCCTTTTTTGATCAAGTTCTACAACTTTTCCCTAGGAATCCTCTCTTTCTTTATCAAAGGAAGAGGAATTCAGGAGAGCATTTAAGGATAGTAGCCATCTGTTGATCATAGTGAATGAGGACAAGTCCCATGTTGTGGTAGATAAGGTGTATGTTCTTCCATTCTTATAAGTAATCTAATCCCTGGGATTATCATGTCCTCTGCAGTGTGCAGTGATTATGTCAATAGGTGACTTGTACACTACCCACAAATTAGTATCTCTTTTCCCCATTGCTATAGAGCTTGGTCTTAAAGCTAATTCAAGGGATATACAGGTAGGAGAGCTATAGGAAGGACTTTCTTTTTTTTTCTTTTTTTAATTTATTGTTGGGGATTCATTGAGGGCACAAGAAACCAGGTTACACTGATTACATTTGTTAAGTGAAGTCCCCCTTACAATCGTGTCTTGCCCCAAAAGGTGTGGCACACACCAAGACCCCAGCCCCCTCCCTCCTTCCCTCTCTCACCCTTCCTTTCCCTACCCTTCTCTCCTCCTTTCTCTGCTCTCCCCTTCTCCCACCCCCACCATGTCATTAATTGTCCTTGTATCAAAATTGAGTACATAGGATTCATGCTTCTCCATTCTTGTGATGCTTTACTAAGAATAATGTGTTCCATTTCTATCCAGATAGGAAGGACTTTCAACATGAGACATGCTGAGTATTTTGTCATAGTCCTAAATGATTTCTGGTGTCTCGACATAAACTTTTTTTACCATACCTGGCAGCCTGGTCTATGGGAGTATCATATTGACAATGCCCTTTGGAGTAGAGAAGCCCTTCCTATTATCAAAAAGGTTGTCAGCCAGTAAGTTAGCATGTGGAATGTTTTCAAAAGTCTTGTGAAACTCCTGGGCTCAAATGGTCCTCCTGCCTTAGCCTACTGAGTAGCTAGGACTATGAGTGCCCATCACAACACCCAGCTTGTTCTCTATGTTTGGTAGAAATAGGTCTCACTCTTGCTCAGGCTGGTCTAGAATTCCTGAGCTCAAGCAGTCCACCAATCTTAGCCTCCCAAAGTACATGAGCCACCATGCCTGGCACAAGTTCTAGATTCTTGTCTTAACTGCATTTCTAATTCACCATGTGACCAGGAGCTAGTTTTTTTTTTTGTTGTTGTTTTTTTTTTTTTTTGAGACAGAGCCTCAAGCTGTCCCCCTGGGTAGAGTGCCATGGCATTACAGCTCACAGCAACCTCCAACTCCTGGGCTCAAGAGAGTCTCCTGCCTCCGTCTCCCAAGTAGCTGGGACCACAGGCACCCGCCACAACGCCCGGCTATTTTTTGGTTGCAGCCGTCATTGTTGTTTGGCGGGTCCGGGCTGGGGATTCGAACCCGCCACCTTAGGTGTACGTGGCTGGCGCCTTAGCCGGTTGAGCTATAGGCGCCGAGCCAGGAGCTAGTTTTTTAGTGTCAGTTTTCTCTGCTATAACTTGCTTATCCCACAGGATTATTCTGAAGCTCAAATAAAGGAATGAACGTAAACATGACAAAGAGCATAAAGCCAAGTAGTATAAAGCATCAGTAGCAATGTTAATATAAGTAGATTTGGGGGGAGGGACTGTTGGCCCAGGCTAGAGTGCTGTGGCATCAGCCTAGCTCACAGCAATCTCAGACTCCTGGGTTCAAGTGATCCTCTGTGCCTCAGCCTCCTGAGAAGCTGAGACTATAGGCGCTGGCCACAATGCCTGGCTACTTTTTGTATTTTTAGTAGTGATGGTCTTGCTCTTGCTTGGCTGGTCTCAGAGCTTTTGAACTCAAGTGGTCCTCCCACCGCAGCCTCCCAAAATGCTACGATTATAGCTGTGACCCCTGTGCCTGGCTCTGTGTATACATTTTGAATTATAAATAACCCAAGAAGGAACTCACCCGTATATAAATGGGCATTGCATGTACTCACACTTACATAAATAACTTTTTAAAAATTAAAACACTTAATTTTATTAGAGCAGTTTTAGATTCCTAATAATTAAATGGAAAGTACAGAGAGTTTCCACGTAATCTCTGCCCCCATGCACAAACAACCCTCTATATCACAGTGGTACATTTGTTGTAACTGATGACTTTACATTGTGATACATCATTATCACCAGAGTTGATAGCTTACCTTAGGGTTCACTCATGGTGATGTAACATTCTTTGGGTTTGGACAAATGTACATGTATAACGACACATTATAGTATCACACAGAATAGTTTCACTATCCTAAAAGTCTGTTCTATGCCTGTCCATTCCTTGCTTCCTCCTAACCACCCCCATTTGGGTTATATATTAATTTGGTGGGTGTGACCAGTATTTTTAAAGAAAATGGAATCTAATAGAATTGGAGCTGTCATAGTACCTCATTAGTAGATTATATGGTTTTTATAGTGTGTGTATGTGTGTGCTTGAGCTGTGGGAAAAAAATTTTGAAAGCGACTTTAGTAAGTAAGGATACACTTTACAAGTATACGTTTACAATTAGTTACTGACATTTATAGGACAAGGTAGATCCCTGTTTTGAGAGAGATGGTTTGACTTGCAAAATAACTTTAGTATTGTTGCTCTGAACATATTATTTGTTTCTTTTTATAAGAGAATTCAAACATAAAACAATTATTGTCAAACAAGATGAGTTTTTGTTCTTTTAACTGATGGCATTATCAGTAAGCTTACAGTGTTGGTGTATTATTTGATAGAGTAAAAATATTCTGGTTCTAATTAATTTTCAGAATCATGTGCTACTTAATTACTAAAAATAACTAAAAGAAATGCTTTTGAGGATTATTTTTAGTTTCATATTTATGCTTCCAAACTGTAAAAGAACTGAAGGAAAAATTAATTTTATTATTAATAAATAATACCAGTCATGAGTAACATGGTTTTATTTAGGTTGTCCCATTAAAATTGTACTGGAACTTTGTGAAGTAATGATGTCCTTGTTTTACAACTCCCTAAGCTGATGTTAAGTGATTAGGTCTGGGTCACAGTAGTTAATCATTGACAACAGATCTAAATTCAGGCCTTCTGATTCTCAATTTCAGTGTCTGTTGCCTCTCAACACATTCTTAAATGGCTAAATTAAATATTCATGAAGAGTTTATTCACTTGAAGAGTGTTCTGGTAGGGAAAGCGCAGCAGAATATTCCCAAGAAGATGGACTTTGAGCACGTCACAGTTGCCCTGTATACCAGGCGATGCATGTGTTTCCCATGTGAAGAAGCTGCTTGGTGTGGTGGATGGGTTGGTGGCAGCCAGTAACTTTGCCATAAAGATAGAAAATTGCTTTGGTAAGGTACTTGGTACTTACCTGGTTTTCACTTATAAAATGGAAATAATATTTGCCTTTCTTGCCTTACAAAGGTATCAGGAGGACCGAATGAAATAATTTATATGAAGAAGCATTGAAAATTATAAAGCACTTTACAAGTACATGTAAGCAAAGAGTACAGGTGTATCTGTCTTCTCACAGTTACACATTTTCAGAGTAATTGCGACAATGTCTTTTTAGTTTTAATCCTTCACTTTTCATATTGTTCCTTTACTTGTAGATTGTACTGGCCCTTTGCTCTGAGGTCAGTCTTATCAATCTTTGTAGTAGAACAACAACAAAGTATTTTTTTTCTTTCACTTGTTTTATTTCTTTTTAATTCAGTAGGATCAAACTGGACACCCTTTCTTATTCCATTCTCCACATAATTTAAAAGAATATAGGTTAAAATCATAACTTTTATTATACTTGGCCTTATATTCTTAACAGTTAGTAGTAGGATGTGTGTGTTTCTTACCCATGGCAAAAAAGAATTTCCTTAAAAATCTGACTTTCTTAAAGACTAGATTAGATGAAGAACCTCAGAAGTGGAGTTTAGGCGCCTTGAGATAGCAGAGGCCTCTTGGCTATTAGATGTGTATTAATAGTTCATTTTTTCTTTCCCTCTTCGAACACCTTCATTTGGTTAAGATTGGCCTTCATTTAATGTTTGCTTTTTGTCCATCTTCATCAGGTGAGATAATGATAAATCTTAAAATCCAGACTTTGGGACTAAATCTGATTTAGGCAACTAAGAACCTAAAGCAAATTTGCCCCAAGCAGATTTCCTGGCTCATTCTGTGCCCTCAAATTTATGTTTACTGAACTGAACATTTGTTTTTCTGCTTCTCTTTAAAATATACATGCTATGTGTCTTTAAAATGTTTGAAAAAATTTCCCTATTTTTAAAAGCATACGGCTAAGACAGAAAAAATAGTTGTGTTGCTCTTTATAATTTCTTTATGAATACGATTACATACTGATACGGTAAGAAATAAAATTACTCTTGTCCAGACATTTAGTCATCTGTTTTAACTTGTCTCAGTTTCTCATTAGACATTCTTGTCATTGGGAAAGTAGCAATGGGAAGGGGGAAAAAATAATAGTAGCAATGATTCTTAAATTATTCTCAGCAGGCAATATATTTAGAATTTGCTTTTTATTCTAGAAGTTTCTTATATATATTGAATGATCAGAGCTAATTTTTATTACAGTTATTAATTTTTTCTAGATTTATTCTGCATATAATCCTAACCTTAGTCAGTTTTATAGTTAGGACTTAAGGATGATGCTGCCATGGTGAATGAATTTCTTTGACATTTTATATAGTGTTAAAGACAACAGGATATATCTGAATTTTTTTTTAATCTAGTATGATGAATTAGTTCCTGCTTCTCTGACAACAAAATATGGAGGCTTTTATATCAACACTGGTACTCTACAGTTTCGCCAAGCTTCAGATACTGAAGAAGAAGATACTACAGAAAACCAAAAGCACAAGCCACCCAAAGTGAGTTTATCTGACATTGCAATAAGAATGTTCAGTTAATACTATAGTAGAACCTCTGTCAGTTGACCACCCAAGGGAATGTTACCAACTGGTCAACAATACACAGAGGTGGTCGACATAAGGAGCAAGGCCTATTGTATTGATATGTACATATGGTGCATGTCCAGTCTATGAAAATTAGGCCAACTTTAAGGAGGCGACCAATATAGGGAAGTAGTCAACTGTGGAGTTTCTAGTACATGTACTTTTTTTGGGGGGACAGAGTCTTACTGTCGCCCTTGGTAGAATGCCGTGGTGTCACAGCTCACAGCAACCTCCAACTCTTGGGCTTAAGCAATTCTCTTGCCTCAGCCTCCCAAGTAGTTGGGACTACAGGCACCTGCCACAATGCCTGGCTATTTTTTTTGTTGTTGCAATTGTCGTTGTTTAGCTGGCCCTGAGTGGGTTAGAACCCGTCAGCCTTGGTGTATGTGGCCGGTGCCGTAACCACTGTGATATGAGTTACTTACGCCACAACTGGATGCAAAGAAAAGTAAAATACAGACTATTGTTTTGAATCTATGGTTAATTAAATACTTCAAAATTCTGTAAGTATGCTGATGCGGTGACGCACGCCTGTAGTCCCAGCTACTCAGGAGGCTGAGATAGGAGGAAGGCTTGAGTCTAGGAGTTGTGGGCTGTAGTGCACTATGCCTATCTGGTGTCTGCACTAAGTTTGGCATCAATATGGTGACCTCCCAGGAGCAGGGGGCCACCAGGTTGCCTAAGGAGGGGTGAACTGGCCCAGGTCGGAATTCCTGTGCTGATCAGTAGTGGGATCACACCTATGAATAGTCACTGCACTCTAGCCTAGGCAACATAGCGAGATCCCGTCTCTATAAAGATAGATAAATAAATAAATTCTGTAGATATGGGAAAATTAGTATTTGCATCATAGTAGAATTGCATTTTCTTTTAAAAGTTCTGTGCATATGCGGTTTACTAATCTGCTATTTCTGTTATAAAATTAAGTTCCTAGAAGACATTAAAATTTGCTATAGAAATGATTGTTAATAGCTGTTACATTGCCTAAGACATAAATTGTTACTAATTCTATAGAGTTTGCATGTACCATAGTTGGGAAAGGAATAGTGTCCCTAGATAACTATTTCTTAAAGTGTGGTCCAAAGACTGACTTGTACCAGAAGTACCAAAACACTTGTTAAAAATGCACATTATTCTTGCTAGACTTGGAAAGATTTATTTATTTATTTATTTAGACAGAGTCTCACTTTCTCACTCTTTGTAGAGTGCTATGGCGTCTCAGCTCACAGCAACTTCAAACTCTTGGGTTCAAGTGATCCTTTTGGCTCAGCCTCCCAAGTAGCTGGGACTATAGGTGCCTGCCACAGTGCCCAGCTATTTTTTAGAGACAAGGTCTCTCTCTGGCTCAGGCTGGTCTCTAACCTGTAAGCTCAGGCAGTCCAACCACGTAGGCCTCCCAAGTGCTGGGATTACAGGCATGAGCCACTGCGCCCCACAACTTGGGAAGTTTTAAAAAATAATAAATAAATAAATGCAAATTATAAGGCCTACCCCAGATAACTGAATCTAAGCCAGAAGTGAGAGTGTTCATAGACCTCAAGAATTTGTACTTTTGGCTCGACTCCTGTGGCTCAAGCTGCTAAGGTCCCAGCCATATACACCTGAGCTGGCGGGTTCAAATCCAGCCCAGGCCCTCCCAACAATAATCACGGCTGCAACCAAAAAATAGCTGGGCGTTGTGGCAGGCACCTGTAGTCCCAGCTACTAGGGAGGCGGAGGCAGGAGAATTACTCGACCTTAGGAGTTGGAGGTTGCTGTGAGCTGTGATGTCACAGCACTTTACCCATGGTGACAGCTTGAGGCTCTGTCTCAAAAAAGAAAAAAAAAGAATTTGTATTTTTAATTTAATTTTTGTTTTTATTTATTTACTTATGTGGAGGGACAGAGTCTCACTTTGTCTCATTCAGTAGAGTGCTGTGGGGTCACAGCTCACAGCAACGTCAGAAGCTCAAGCAATTCTCTTGTCTCAGCCCCTGAGTAGCTGGGATTACAGGCGCACAACACAACCCCCACCTATTTTTAGAGATCACTCTGGCTTGGGCTGGTCTTGATCCCGTGAGCTTAGGCAGTCCACCCACCTCAGCCTCCGAGAGTGCTGGGATTACAGGGTTGAACCACCGTGCCCCACCCCAAGAATTTGTATTTTTAGCAAGCAATTCTAATGTACACTGACATCTGAGAAAAAACTCTGCCCTGGATCCTGAATTGCTAACATCAGAGTAAAGCATTGGTTCTTATGTAAATGATGCATTCTTTTATCATTTTATAGGTTCCCAAAATAAAAGAAGATGATATTGAGATGAAGAAGCGGAAACGGAAAGAGGAAGGGGAAAAGGAGAAGAAGCCAAGGAAGAAAGTCCCCAAACAGCTTGGGTGCGTTAAATTAAACCTAATAAGGGAATACGTGTTACACTGTGACTGTCTCTCCTTTTAGAAAGATACAGTCACCATTAATTAATTCAACTTAGCTGGGTCTAATTTAATATACTGTTTATGAACATTAGTGTCTGTTAACTTATATTTTAACATTACAATATTTGTTGGTAAACAGAAGGCTTTGTCATCTTAGAGACTCATGGTGTTTTAGATCAAATTTACAGATTGGTTAATTAAGTATTTTGTTTGTTACAACTTTTTACCAATAAGAACCAGTTTGAAAAGATACTAAATACAGAAGAAACTTTAATGTTTTGGTACTAAAACTAACTTTAAATGCTTGGGGATTGAGGATTGGTAGCAGCCTATGTGTAAACAATTTATGACTGTTTCAATATAAAAATTTTCATTGACTTTATTTAGCTGTTCTTAATTAACACTTGTGACTTTAGGTGATGATATTGCTGTTAAAATCTAAGTAAAACTTCTCAAAAGCCATATGTCACAAGAACAAAATATTCATCCCATGCAATCAAAAATTGCCAATTGTTCCTACTTCTCGGGGGCTTTTTCACAGAGCTTTCACAGAGGAGGACACCGATAAGAGGCTAGGTTTTGCTCCTCTCTTTAGCAGGGGAGGTGTATTGAATTTGGAGCTGTCGGTATCTAAAGACTGATGTACGGAGGTATTTCTTCCCTCCAGACGTGGGATTACAGTCATTAATCAGGACCTTGAGTTAGAAAGAAATCATCAAGAAAAAAAGTATATATACCACTAATCGTTGTCTTAAATGTTCATTATTTATAAGTAAGCTTCTTTGTAAACATAGCCTACAAGTATTTCCTTTTATGGAATTTATTTTCTCAACTTTACAAATATTAAGTACCGGTTTATTTTTTTAAGGCACTATTATCCAGATTTGGGTTGTATAAAGTAGACTAAAACATGGGCATACCCTCAAGGTACTAATAATCTTTTATGTTCTGTAGTGCACACAGAAGCATCTAAGCCATAGGATTTAGAAAAGATTTCTTGGCTCGGCGCCTATAGCTCAACCGGCTAAGGCGCCAGCCACGTACACCTAAGGTGGCGGGTTCGAATCCCCAGCCCGGACCCGCCAAACAACA